GGGTGGTAGTATTTCTGAAACTAGATGTTCGCAACTAGATGTCTCACTCAAAGATGTCAATTCAAAGTTTCATAATACATATCATCTGAACTTCTGATTCGAGGTACATCGTCTATCCACAAGGTTCTCTGGTGAATATTGTATTCCCTCTCGCATAACTGCACTCCCAGAAGTCATTTTCATTTTCATCAATAAAAGTCTACAACTCCTTGCAGGATTGAATCATAGCTAGCTCCTCATTAAATGCAATCTGAAGACTTATCAAACTCATTGAAACAGTTGAGTTTTCATTTTATTTTTGATATTTTTGTAGTTTGCATTTGCTGGAACACCTTAAACCGACAGCACCAACAAACGCACCAAAATGGATCCTCCAGAACAGGAAAGACGCAGCAGCCCTCGTCTTCATAGAACCACACAACCAAACCCGGAAACTCAATGTATTGGAGCGACTGGGACAAAACTAACCGTCTCACGACGGACACGATGAAAACCACAAGACCAGTCAACACCAAAAAAATACACAAAGAAACACGAGAGTTCAAGCCAGAGTCTGTTGCATTGTGGCGAGAGATTTTCCTGGCTTCCGCTCGGTTTCCCGTGTTTCTTTGTGTGCCTTTTGGTGGACTTTGTTTGATCTTGTGATTTCCATCGTGTTTGCCGCAAGATGGCTCGTTTGGTCCTAGTCGCTCCAATGCGTTTCCTGATTTGGTTGAGGGATGCATTGATTCCATGTTTCTAAGGGCGGTGGAAAAACCTACGTGCCTGATAGAATAGTATCATAACAATGTTCCACGAAAAGAGTCTGAGATCAAGAGTCTATGTCAAACCATCACAAAAACAAAATTGAATGCCCTTAAGAATTAATTTGATTGAACACGAATATCACACATATGAAATGGCTGCTTTATTCCACTTTCCATGCCAGTACATAGGTCATGTATACAATCTTTACATTTCTCACATTGAATCTTTTTTTGTAATCTTTTTTTTACACATACAGGATTCCGTGTTTCAGCATTCATCCTCTTTTCATAGTTTTTCTATATTATCGTTGCAGGTATAACTTTGTTGATTAGTATTGGTTACATCAACTCTCAAATTATCAGATACAGATTCTTGTGATGTATTTGAAGGTCCAGATGAATCCCTGATTAGTGGGCCTGAGACGCAAATTTTGATGATGATATTACTATTGTTACTGGTGCTGCAACTGATGGTTGCAATAAAATAAGGCTCTTCATAACGTCAAGCTATAACATTTTTTTCGGCAGCTCGAGCAGGACTTATAAATTGTGAGTTCAATTTTTCTACTTTAGGATCATAAACAGTTCTGACCTGCAAGACTTTCGTCATTGTAAGAGGGTGACAAGTTATTCCTTCGGAAAGACTCATAGACAGTCTCAAACCTTTGGAATATTGGATGCATGAGAGATTGTCATCACTATATTGATTTTTTTTTCAGCTGCACAGGATAGTATTTGTTATTTTGTCTACATCTTTACTTGCATAATTGAAACAGTGATTCCGGGAATATTTTGCGTTGTCTTCACATTGTGCTAATGGAGTGGCTCAAACGTGAGGAGAATTTTCAACGAAAATATCGTGCGCTGACCAACTCCTGGACATCTGACACAACTATAAGGAATATACACGCGCCGTTTCAATGAAATTTACATATACCTTTATTTTTAACTCCATAGAATACCCGATGACACGCGAATATAGAATACTAAATCTTCAACGAGAGTTACATCTGCTACATTTTCATCGGCATCATCAATATCCAGCCGGACTCAAATGATCTCCGCTCAAATATGAATTTTAATTGCTCGAGTAAGAGAAATTAATTGCGAGATCCAACAATAAATTGCAATGTCAATTTTAATAGAACCGATATATGCAGAAGCGCAAGGGATATACACATTTTATAAAATACAGCGAAAATTTATTATGGAGGAAGGTGAACTGGGAGTCAGTCGAATGAATAAAACGTAAAACGTAATGAATAAGTGTGTAAGAATTTGCACCCGGACCGTGACCAAGGCATGTATCGCATATTTAATGGTGCCACCTGCTACATATTAAATTCCAACCTGGAGTTATACTCAAACGAAGTGGTTACTGATTTTTTTCAAACGCTCTACTGCAGAATTTGATTAAATTTCATTGGTACATTCAATTTCCTACATCCCTCGTTTCTCGCGAGCTCATAACTTGTTTCTCTGTCCATGAAATACTCAACAAATTGTTGTTGGATAATTGAAGGAGGTGTTAATCGTTATTTACTCTTTATCGTTTGTGTTTTGTTTTTTTCATTATGCAAGAACCTACTTAATGGAAAATAGCTACGCGGATGTGCTTCACTGATTTGATTAGTTGGTATTAGAATGGCGGTTAATTGCACTAAGATATTTCTACCAAAATGTAGCATCGAGTCAAAAACAAATGAAAATATACTTAGTTGGCCTGATATATCCAAAGAGTGGGGAAAACGAGTACATTATCTGAGGATTCATCGAACACTTGTTTCTAATCTCCAAACGAAGCTCAATACACATTTTCACTAACAGCATTCATATGTCTAGTTCAAGGCAGTTCTTGGAATTAATATCTACCGTACTAGTATACAACGAATCCTGCAAGAGTTGAGCATCATTAAAGCTTTGGGTTCTGAAGAAATAATCCGTCATCTTAAACGACTCTATATTAGTATAATTTCTTCAAGCAAATGTCAACTATGAAATATTGCAAAAATGTATTGAAAAAAAATGTCCTTGGTATTTCCAAAGCACTTGTCATCTCTAATATCAAGGGGAAGGTTTGTTCTTGACAAGCGACCATGAATGTTTCCGGGCTAGTAGGCTGTAGTCGAATGGAATTTGTAGTACCAAACCATTCTTCTGCTACTGCGGCAGACATATTCAGTGGTATATGTATACGGTATATACGCAGACTGCGAGTCAAAGATAGTGTCTAGAAGTCACAGTACCGACTGAGTCAATCGCTCACTCCGTCAATTTATTTCCTTAATGCCAGTTCAAATAGTTAACTGTCTTGGCACTATTCATGGGCATAATAATCAAATGAGTTCAAAATCAAAACGATCTAATAGTCATACCAAATGGTCATCAAACCTATGGTTACCTATGATATGGAAAAAAATTAGTATCATAGCAATACAATATCTGTGAAGAAAGAAACAGTAGTTAATACTGTTTCACCAAACTGCTCACATACATGTGGAAACATGAGAATTCTGGATTTTATTTCACTGAAATTCTTATCGAAACCAACATACTTTATACCAACTAGGTATAATTTCACCGTCAATTTCAAGAGATATTGTGGTATAGTGATATTTCCAAAATGTATGAGTGTTTCCTCAAGAATTACAAGACCAACTTTCTACGTAGACATATATTCAGGATTATCTCGGAAAAAAACGGTTTTTTATGCTGTTTCAGTCCCTTTGTAAATAACCTTACAAACATTTCAGGGTTTATAGAATTCATCAAGAAGGTCAATCTAATCTGATGAAAGCTTTGTCAGATATGAGCAATTAAAAATTGATAATGGCGGAAATATCAAATATTTTTCATTTCGTCAAAATCACACCTATAGGGCTAAAATTTGGTATGAATGTGTCTTTCAGTGCCTTCAAATTCCAAAAAAAGTTTTGTGAAAAAAACTGTTTGCGAGTTATTGCGAATGTTTGCAAATAATAAGCAAAGTGTATTATTAAAATTAGTTGAAAAAATTGCATTTTATATCATTTTCAAAACCTTATAAAATAGCAAAATACTTTCAGACTGTTTATCCACAGAATCTTACGTTCACATGCTGTCACAAAAGTAACAAACAACCAAGATTCTGAAATAAAAAGTAATTTTATGAATTAAAGGCGATTATCCCTATTTTTGATCACTGATTCAGACTGACTCCTCCCAATTATATTGGGTATCGTTAGTCAGAATACTTGTGTCGTTAGATTAGGACACCAGGGTGATCATTTTTATGACCTCATCTCTGGAGAAGAAAATTTTAATTAATCCTCTTTCACACTGAACGTTTATTTAACTATCAACTGATATACAAGATAAATATTAACGAAATGGCTGATTCTCCAAGAATTTGTCGTGTTAACGATCTATTTCTTGTTATCAGCGGGTAATAAATTCTAATATTAGTTCACAATTGAAAGTTAAAACATCTTTCAGATTTATCACGGTAGTTGCCCTCAATTTATATCATTAGTCTATCAGTCAATCTATCATTAATTTTTTTCAGTAATGATATATAACTATATACAATATATAATATAATAATAACGAAACCTTATGAAACACTCATCCTTTTGTAAATGTTCTTGTTCTGTTTGTTACACTCCTTTGCAAAAATTTTTCGACATTTAATTCCTGTTTGCTTCTCGTACAACAAAGCAGATTTTTTCGGGAAAGGAATCACATGCAAATGATGAAAACATTTTTTAAATTAATTCGTTTCTTTTTATAGTTTTGTGAATAGAACAGTTGTTCAAGTTATTAAACTGGAGCATCAGTTTCTCTAGGCAATGTTTGTCGCACATTCGCTTTCAACGCCAATGCATTGAGAAACGATCCTACGATTGAAATGAATCGGTTATTTTGGTAGCTCGAGAGCTATCAAGTTGGATTCAAGTCGTTATTCGATGATAAATGAAGTAGATCATATGGGAAATGTTCGAATATGGATGCATTAGAATTGTCATAGTCTAGAAACGAAACAAGTATTTGTACAAAAAAAACTGCAATAAATTGATGTCTCCTAAAAATATATTCCTTACAATTTAAATCTTGAAACATTTGTGAGCCTTCAAAAATATCCCGCAAAGACAGAACTCTTCAAAACATTCCAAAAGCACGTGAGATTTTTCTCTGAAGGGGTCAGTTTTGACCTAAAATTCTTTGCATAACATTCATCCCGTGAAGCGGGATGAATCTGTTTGAAAATGTTTTTTTTCGATAACAATCTGTCGTCCCCCCTACGAACGATAACTCTCAAAAGTCGAAATTCGTGCGAGCTAAAGACTAACGAGGCCTCACCTTTCAACTTGTTATTCCTAGCACGGGTTGGACGATAGGAAGTGAAACTAAATCGTTTGCCTTGCGGTTCGAACCACCGGTTCACACAGCGGTCGATTGAGTTGATTGAAGCAAATCACCCACGTCAACCCGACCGGCTATCGCCCCCTCCCGTCTCCAATTTCTTTGAAATGGAGATGGTATTGAGTGCACAATCATTGGAAAGTGCTGTAACGTTTAGCGAGTCTCTAATTTTCTCTTACCAAATGAGAATAGTTTGGCTCAGAAAAAATTATTTAATGAATTTTTAAATTTTTATGGGTTACTCAATTACGAAAAGCATGGCAATGATTGAAATTCATTTTGAAAACAACGTTTCGTCTGCTATTGTGGAAGACATCACCAGAGGTGTGCGTTGACTACGAGAAAGAAGGTTATATTTTGAAGTCTCAGCAACGACATCGATCATCGACAGATGTTTAAATTAAAACATCAATTGTCATCCATAATTGCCAAATCGAACCAAAATGGATACGATAATATTGCTCCTCCTTATTTTTAAACATTGAATGTAATAGGATATACAAAGGATGTTTTAGCAGTATTTCTTCCATATGCCTGCATACTGCAAATCTAAACTTTTGTTGTTTAGATTTGTTTACTGCCAGTCTTCAAGCATAGCCCACTGACTAACAAGAAACTAAACTTTTGTAATAACAAATTTTGCCAATATTTTTTTAACTGCTTGTCAACTAAATATTTTTTTGGCATCACAATGCTTGGTATGTTCCTCAATACTTTTGTTCGTTATCAGCTAAAGCACGGTTATTGAACACACACCAACCATGAACTCAGTTCATTTTGATAAGAAAAGTATCTGTTCTATGTTATATTTGAACCAATCAATTTACGGATGAGAGTTGGAATCATAACCACAGTGCTTACTTCTTGATTCGTTGATAATCATTTTCGGAAAGACAGAATTGTAACACCTGACGTTTTACCAACCAAGTTGGTGTCATCAGGACATAATCCAGATATTGAAGAGTTTTATTGTTATGATGTTGGTTGGAGTCTGAGTTTGATATTTATGAACGGAGAAGTGAGGGAATGATTGAGACTGGAACAGCGTAAAGTGATTCATCTTATTCAATATTGATTTTATTTTTGTTTTTGCAGATATTCCTACGCAAGTGCCGCCGCTGACTCCAGGCACGAACAAAACGATGGCAGAGGCGCTGAAAGCGTCATTTGCCTCGTGGGAAAAAGAACAATTGAGGTTAAATATAACCAAAGGTAAGTAATCATAGATTTTATACACTAGAAATATTTTCATCTCTCATATAAACCAATATCCGACGTGGCACTAGCCAGAGAAGTAGTTGTTTTCCGGCAGGTATTTGTATACTCCTGTGACAAATAGGAGACATTCTGAGCATGCGATATCTCATCATATCCAGCTGATCATGCATGTCAATGTTATACACACACTAGAGATGAATGGTTGATTTATTTAATTTGTTACAAATTGACAGACCTTTCACACAACACCAACAAAGCATATATTTACAAATATTGTAATCTATACCTGAAAATATCTTTTCTTGTGGTAATCTTATCAATTTCGCAAAAGCACACACAATTTAAACAACGTCGGGAAAGGAGCGGCCATAATGACCGCGGCGTACAATCTGGCTCGAGCCCTATGTTTACTTGCAGGACGGTACCCGAATTTTCTGAAGGGGCTTCGCGTGCAACCTAAAATCATTCGATTATCTGTAACAGTTTCAGAGTATCATTAGTCAATTTACATTAAACAAATATCGAATAAATGAATAATAATAATAATAATGATGATATGTCACAATCATGGTAATCTATTGTCACGTGAAAGGCGTTATTATTACTTGCCTCAACTTTATCATGGCTTCATAATGAATCTTTTTTCAGTGGGAAAACAATGGAGATGGATTTTTGAATGAATTCTCATTGCATTTTTTGATTCTTCATTTTCAACCTGTTGATGAAAATCTACTCAAAATATTTTTTTAACAATGCCAAAACCAATGATTATTTTCAATTCATTCCATTAACTTCAATAGGACTTTTCCACATTTTTCCTGATTGATAGTAATGAGCCTTTTTGAAGTGAAGTATTGATGTATCTATTCGGTAGAGCCCCAGTTTCATTTTTTCAAAATGTAAGTTCAACTTTCACCTTTTTTCCACTTAGAACGTTTTTTGCTCATTGATTCGATGATTTCAGGCCAGGATTTCTACCAAAATTTCTGTACTTTTTGACGAATTATTCTGAATATAATATTGTGATGAATACGATTGATAATTCTGTTTACAAAAAATCTGCTTTTCCGTTAATCAGCTGTCGCCCCCATACGAACGACAACTCTCAGAAGTTGAGAAACTTGTGCGAGATAAGGACTAACGAGGTCTTACCTGATAACGTGTTATTCCTAACACGGTTGCAGAATCATCCCAGCTTCAACCAGATGAATTCTCTCGAGAAAAATATCTGGTCGAGGCAGGAATCGAACCCACGGTCTTCCGATCGTGATTCGGGCGCACTACCACTGCGGCCAATTCAATTTATTAAATCACCTTGCCTGGATACGACTCTGTTCCACAGTTTTATTGTCTGCGACTCTTCATATTGAAACATCAAACAAGAAAAACGTTAACATGACCGTTCGATTGTTCAGAACACACATTCATTCGAGAGGTTCAAAGAAGATGCCGACGACACTGTTTACATTCTGATCTGGACGTTTAAAATTCTTGGAGGTGACGAGATTGACGAAAAACAGAATTTATCACCATCTCAGCTCGCCTGTGAACATATTCAATACAAAAACTGAGTGTGTACCCAATAAAAATGAAAAGGAACAAGTTATTTGCGATTTTGGCACGTCCTATGAGAATGTGTATTTGTATAGTTGGTTGGTACTTCTACTGCACTACCTACTTTTGGAAGATTTCGAGTTTTCTCCGAGAAAAATTTATTGAAAGACGCTTTTGAAAACAAAGTTTCATTTAAAAATAAAAAACTGAAATGGATCAAACCCCCAATTTATTACAAAACACAATTTGTACGATCTAAAAGTTTTTCGTTAGATTTACCTTATTTTAGGGTTTTTTCTTTTCAGGGCATGTAAATAAAAGCTTATTAAATAATTCTACCATTGTTGATGATACTTATTAAAAAAATCATCAAGTATTGTATATATTGTCTAGATATTGAGAATGCTGGTACAGTACTTATGAACATTTACGACATAACTTAAAAATTATCTCAAACTCACGATATGCATTATACATAATAACACCGATAAAGTTATGTTTCGGTTTAGGAATGTTTCCTGATATACGAGTAAGTTCATTTTATTGATGTGAAACTGACGGGTCATTTGCAATATCTCCTGTATGCTATTTATGTACGATTTTTTTATTAAACTAACAAACATACGTTTACATGCTCAAACTCGTTCTTCATGAAAAATAATTTTAGAGTAAATGACATTTATATATAAAACCAGAAAGTTATCAAAACATTTCAACAAAAGTATTGGTAAAATTGAATTTTTGAACCTCGGAAATCTTTTAAAAAAATACTAATTCACAAATATCATCATATCACGTTGAATGTTGGTGACTGATTAAAGCATAAATCGACATTCACGAAGCTTTTTCGAATTAACAAATATTCTGATCTGCTATAGAAATCATTCACATCTCTCCAGGAGTGTGCAGGAGTGTGCAGTATTATCAGAATAGTATACGGAGTTCCCCAAGGAACTCGTTATATAGTGCGATACGAGTATAGCCAAGGATAGGCAAAACTTGGTTGGAATGAGTACAAATGTAATCAACAGAATATCAGCCACAGTTTAACTTCCCTTAGCATATAGCGGATTATGACCCTGCTTAGGGAGTCATAACAATGCAGAATATACCAAAGAGTCAATGGATCTTTTTCGAGAAAAACTCACCATTTTTTCAAATTGAGTCACGTGCATAATTCAATTTTCCACACAAGATATGACGTAAAGAGTTATGATTATTTACTATTACTAGCAACACAAAAGTTCTTCGCTAACTTTTTTCCCAGTTTTTTGCTTTCTACTGTGATCATCACGAGACTAACCAAATTTATTTTGCTCAGTATGTTTAGGGGATTTCAGCATTGATGGTTGCTTATCTATCATTACTTTCGCTTGGCCTGATGATTCCTTCAATATTAAGTTAGCTATAACTTCCGATGGCTTGAAATTTCCCTTGAAAATAGTGATTTAAGGATCATTTACATCCAAAATTATTACCCTATGATTACTTTAGAGTCATTTCCATCAGCAAAAAAGATTCGTATTCCAATTTATTATCTATCTGATGTCTCACTTCATCCGTCGAGTGTATCGTTGTGTAGACACCAAAGAGAGAGAGAGAGAGGCTAAACGAGAGACAGCAGATTCTCGGTACACCATTGTTTTACAGACGCAATCACATCAGATTTTTACTTTGATATGGTACAAAAGTTATCGGTTGAGCGGTCACCAATTGAAAGAGTTTCGATATACGCCTACAAAGTCCATTATTACCAACGCTTTTTCAATGGGTCTCGCATTGTCGAACAGACATTGAGAAAGGATTTGAATGAAAATTTGAGTCGAGGGACACAGTGCTTCAGAAATTTCACCAACACGATGAAAATTTGTATACTACTCTACATGTACGTAAAATTTACTTTCTTATGAGTTCCCAGAACAGTTGTAAATTCATTATAATTGGTTTTTAGTCTTTCTCAAGGACCAAACACAAGCACTACAGGAAAATCCTTAAGGCGCTCTAAGAGCGGTGCCTTTGCGAAAGTAGCGATTCACATTTGATTTGGAAAAACGTTCTCAGGAAGTTAATTTCACATAAACAGTTCTCCAAATGAAACAGTGAAGTTCGAGGTGTACTGAGTTGAACCTCAAAACGATGAGCAGCCACAGTCCGTCGCGTATTTCTGTTATGTACCGCTCTTGTGGCACTTGACCACTTCCCGTTAAAGTATCTATAGAAGAGAGACAAATCCCAATGTTTCTTTGATATATATTCCAGACTATCAAGGTTGCAAGTGATGTTCGCCTCTCCAATCAGGTGGATGGCTTTTTTCTGGATGGAATCAGGCAGCTTCAGAGTATGCTTAGGGGCGGAGCTCCATATATGTGAACAATACTCCAAAGAAAGTCTGATCTGAGCTTCATAAAGCATTAAAAAATGCTGAGGTGTGTACAGTTTTCAAGTTCGGCACAGTGTTCCAAGCTTTTGAGAAGCAGTCTGTGCAATTCCAGCGACATGATTGTGTCCATTTTAACCCCCAACAATTGTCTGTCCTGACATTATCCGGTTTGAAGACATTTATTTCTTTGGGGAAAACCGATGCCTGGATTTTTGTGACAGAGAATTGAATCTGGTTACTTTCACCCCAATTCGTAATCACTCTAGATCCTTATTGAGATATGCAAACTCTTGCTGCCGGTGAAGATGTGTTGAAACAAAAATCCTTCCCATACAAACTACAACTACAAAAAGTCGAAACTTGTGCAAGATGAGGATCAACGCGGTCTTACCTTGTACCTGCAATCCCTAGAAGAGGTCAGAAGTATATTTTCCAGCCAGGTGAAATACTTCATACATGGTGTTAACTAAATATGTACCATAAATTCAACCGACGATTCTTTAGGTAATTTTAAGACGGAATGTTCATATAAACATGGGTCCGCCAATCCTTCTTTCTCAAAATACAGGGTGTTGCAATAAAAATAAAAAAAAAGTTATTCGTAAATATCCTTTACCTAATTTGGTTGTAATTTGTCAATGGTATTTATAACATTAAGGAGCTAATGTAGCCCGAACGTGATTCAATTTATTAAGTCCAGTGGCGTCTCGAGCGAGATTTCAACGAATATTTTTGACTTAAAAATGTACGCCACTGACTGTTGTGCAATTTTCATAATGTCCTTGGATTGAGCAATTAGAAATACGACTTTTTTGTCTCTTGAATTTTTTTCGTATCTTGCTTAGTTTCTAAGAAAAAAAAGTCGACCTAATTGCATATCCCTGGACCTCACAAGGAATAATATGGGGAATTGAATGTTTCTTTTGGAAATTATTATTTTGACAATTTTTCATTAGTAACTATGTGACTATAACAACAAATAATAAATAACATTAACATCTAGAGTGACGAATTGCACTAAATTAAGTGTTGAAAATGGCCTCCTTCGGCTTCAATACAA